CGGAAGGGCCAGGACTTGAACCAGTGCTCCGACACGGGATGAGGGCATGCAAAGCCGCTGCTTCACCCACTGCGCTGCAACGCCAACCCCATCAATCACTCTCTTATTCCTCCCCCTTTTCGCAGCCTTGAGCCAAAATTCCCCGGATGGAGGGGATGAACACGTTGGTCCCTTGTACAGGTGGGTGCTGCTACACATATTTTAAAGACACTCAGCTCTCCTCATTCGTAGTAGTGATGTTCTATAAAGTCATTGCAAAAACCGAATAAGCAAATCCTGATCACTGCCCTGGAGGAAATCCAGTGAGGCTCCTGTGAGCCTCTGGCCATGTCTGCAGCAAGCAATCGGTATGTGACCACGACGAATGGACGTTTCTGTATAGAAACACCTCCTTTCGCACAAGCTGGAGTTTACGTGGTGTTGATTCGCGAGCTCTGAGCCATGGCCGTCAGTCCTACCACTCACGTCTGGAGGACGCTCAGCAGTCACAGGTTTGCTCCCTTAGGCGCATCACAGCCTCTTGTACTCAGGAACACTAGGCGGTGCCTTAGCACAATGCGTGGGCGTAAATTTAAATAGCAAAATCACCCAACACAGCACAGCAAGAAAAATGTGGCACTTGATAGGTCACAAAAAGGAAACCACTTTATGCTAAGAATGCTGAAACAATGAGGCAGCGTGTCTGCTCCTTCAGCTTCAGCTGGGGGTGCGTGCATGGGCAACTCAAAATTTCCTCCTCTCCGTGCCACGCAGATGGCCGGAAACAGCTGCAAAAAATCTCAGATGCTGATTAGGAGCAGGTGAATGGAACCCACAAATAATGAGGATTGGCAGCATTTTTTTCTGGTTATAAAATTAATACATTGGCACAGTGGTTAAGTCACCACTTGAGATGGCTGCATCCCATACCAGAGTGCCTGCTTCCAGTCCCGGCTCCTCCACTTCTGATCTGGCTTCCTGCTAATGTGCACCTGGGAAGGCAGCAAATAACAGTTCAAGCCCTGGCTACCACTCATGTGGAAACCTGAGAAAATTCTGGGCTCCTGGCTCCAGCCTGGCTTACCCTGGCTGTTGGCATTTCAGGAAGAAAATCAGTGGATAGAAGCGCTCTCTGGCTCTCTCATTCTCTCTTCCTCTCCCTTTAATATCAAATGAAAATAAGTAGAAATTTAAAATTAATATAATAATGACAAAGTTAAAGGGCTAGTGTTGTGGTTTAGTAGGTTAGCCTCTGCCTGCAATGCTGGCATCCCATATGGATGCGAGTTCGAGACCTGAAAAACATCAGAAGATGGCCCAAGTGCATGGGTCCCTGTACCCACGTGGGAGACCTGGAAGAAACCAAGGCTGCTGGCTTTAGCCTGGCCCAGCCCCAGCCATTGTGGCCATTTGGGCAGTGAGCCAGAGTATGGAAAATCTCTCTCTCTCTCTCTCTCCCCAACCCCTGTTTCTATTTCGCCTCCTCTCTGTAATTCTACTTTCAAATAAAGAAAAAATAAATAAATATTTTTAAAAAATAATGTTGGCTGGCGCTGCGGCTCACTAGGCTAATCCTCCGCTTTGCGGCGCCGGCACAGCGGGTTCTAGTCCTGGTCGGGGCGCCGGATTCTGTCCCGGTCACCCCTCTTCCAGGCCAGCTCTCTGCTGTGGCCAGGGAGTGCAGTGGAGGTGCACCCCATGGGAGACCAGGAGAAGTACCTGGCTCCTGCCATCGAATCAGTGCGGTGCGCCGGCCATAGCACGCCGGCCGCGGCGGCCATTGGAGGGTGAACCAACAGCAAAGGAAGACCTTTTTCTCTGTCTCTCTCTCTCACTGTCCACTCTGCCTGTCAAAAAAAAAAAAAAAATAATGTCAAAGTTAGGCTACCCATAATCCCAGCCCATAGATGAACACATAACTGTCATTTAGTTCTATTTAATTTATGTGCTGTACATGATTGTGTGCCCATGTCTGTACATCTCTGTATGCTTGAGTCTTCATTTTTTCTTTTTAATATTCATTTCATTTATTTGAAAGGCAAAGTTATAGAGAGAGGGAGAGAGAGATCTTCCATCCACTGATTCACTCCCCAAATAGCCACAATGGCAGGGGCAGAGCCAGGCTAACGCCAGGAGCCAGGAACTCCATCTGGGTCTCCCACAGGGGTGGCAAAGGCTCAAGTACACGCACCATTTCCACTGCTTCCCCAGGCACATCAGCAGGAAGCTGGATTGGAAGTGAAGCAGCCAAGACTTGAACCAGCACTCATATGGGATGGTCATATGCCCGTTTTTTTCTTATTTATCTACTTTTCATTTATTTGAAAAGCAGGGACGGACTGAAACAAAGATAGAAAGACAAAGAGAAATCTCCCCAAATGTCCACAACAGTGCAGTTAGGCCATGTAGAAGCTGGGAGGCCGAAACTCAGTCCAAGTTTCCCATGTGGGTGGTGGGGACCCAACTACTTGAGCCACCACCATTGCCTCTCAGGGCACACATGAGCAGGAAGCTGGAACCAGAAACAGAGCCAGGACTTGAACCCAGGTGTTCCAATATGGGACGCAGGCATCTAACCACCGTGCCAAGCCCCCTCCTTCCCTCAACAATCTCTTGGACAGCTTTCCATATAAATATATATATATAAACATATTTTGAATAAATTCCTGGTGTTACTTTTTAGACTATGAATACATTCCTGGTGTTACTTTTTAGACTGAATAAATTCCTGGTGTTACTTTTTAGACCATGAATGGGAGCTGCGGGTGGTGTCTCTTAGTCTTGGTCCAGACCCCTCAGCTCCATCATGTCGGGGAAACAGAGCAACTGGACTTGCCGGGCTGAAGCGTGACGTTGCTGTCCTGCACCTTCACTGAGATGGAGTTAGGGGAGGCGGACGGCTCAAGCGGCAAAAAGACTTGGGACTGTAAAGTCTTAGGAGAGAGAAAAGAGATGCGACTTTTAGCCAGAGAAAACCATGTTGTGTACATTTGGAAGAGATTGGAGCTGGATATGAAGAGGAACTTCGCTCCTGAAAGGATCTATCCAGCAGCACCAGGTACGACCAGAGCCTCTTCTACAAACAGCTGTGAACAAAAAGGTCCACAAGGCAATGGCTTCTAGACAGTGGGAGTGTCCCTTTCTGGACCATGTGGTTGGCTGCCTCTGGTTCTAGAGGAACTAAGGTCCCCTCCGGATCTTTGCTCTCTCAGTAACCTTGGCCATCACTGTGAAAGCAGGGCCCTGGCACAGCTGTGTTGACTCCAGGGAAGAGGAACCGAAGCATGGACGAGCAGAAGCCCGGTGCCTCCCAGCCTGCTTCCAAATCTGTGCTATTGGAAGAACCCCCGCCCCCTACACACACACTCAGCCACGCTGGGGTCCAGGAGCAGCCGGAAGCGCAGCCTCCAGGGGCCAGACATCCTAGGAGAGTGAGAGGACGCATTCTGGTGGACAACTAAATAATTTCTGCTTTCTCAGCCTTGGTACGTTCCTCTTAAAGTGGGGACAATAGCATACACCAGTTACAAAGCCTTTGAGATAGACACTCAGATCCACATGTGAGCATGCTCAGCAGACCCTACTGTGCCTGAAAACAATTTCTCATTGTTTTTCCCTCTGGACTGAAGCATCATGGGAGTGAGGAGCGTTAATTTATTCCATCCGCACATACAAGGTCTGCTGGAGTCATATCAGCAGATAGGCATTGGATAAGAAAGCCATGGCTTCATCCGTCATCAAGCCCGTTTTAATTTCAAACGCTTCAGCAACCTAGCCCTTAACCTGCTTGCTGGAAGGAAGGAAACAGGGGTGCGTGTCAGCGTACGCCGTGGGATCCATCTGCACAGAAGCAGGCTCCGACGGCCAGGAGGAGCAGTGCCTGCTGCTCGAGCCCACAGCCTGTTTCCAGCGAGGCTGGGGACACTGGGCCAGGGGACTGTGTGATGAAGGGCTGGCAGGCAGCAGGGAACTAAGAGCGGCTTCTTCAGCCATGCCTCAGTCAAGTTCAGTCCAGGGAAGACGTTGCTAAAGGAGGCGGAAGGGGGGGGCTGACCCCCTCCTCTCCCGCACCTCCAAATGCAGTCACAATGGCCCCGTCCTCTCTCCTTACCCACTGCTGGAGGTCTCAGGTCTCACCTCCCACAAGCACTATGGCAACCGCAACCTCCCTGGGGCCCGGTGTTGTTCCCTCCCCCCCAACCCTCGCAGCCGCTGCCACTGCTGCTGCTACTCAGCTGTGCACCTTTGTGGTGTCCTGAGCTCTTTGCACACACCCATCAGAGCAAGGCCCTGGTCCCTGCCTTCACCTTGCGACGCCACGGTGAGCACCTCCTGAAACCCAGATCTGGCCAGGTCGTTTCCCTGCAGAGAGCCCAGTGCCACTCTCAAGGCTGCCCACGCCCCCAAGGCCCTTCCCCACCCCACCGCCCTAAGTTCTCCCCTTTCGCGCCTCGCCCGTTGGTAATCCCCTATCCCCTCCATCTGGCACACCAGACGTGGGCTCCTGTTATGCTTTCTGCTCCTGAGCCACCCCCTCCCCCTTACACACATGCAGAAATGTTTGCCCAACGGGATGGACGTTAGCCGGGGCTTTCTGAACTTCTCCCCCAGATACGCTTTGGAGTGTGAGGGCCTTGAACTTGCTGCTGAGGGTATCTCTCAAGATTCACCTTTTTATTTCAGGCAAAAATTGCGCGCTGTGCGGAGTACATAACATATCCTTGTTTGTTTCAATATAAAACCTGATTTTTTTTCCCAACTCTTCAAACTGATGATCCGGAAAGACGCTCCTTGTTTATTCCTTGCCCTCTGCAATTACCTGTTTCCTCCTCCCCCACCCCAGCCCCTGGAAAGGACTCCAGGAGAGACCTAGACGCCCTCCCTGTGCAGACCCTACAGAACAGCTGGGCTGGCGCTTCCAGGAGCAGCCGCGTGGGGGGGTGGGGGGCGGGCCGCCCCACCCCTCCCCCCGCCCGCCTCGGGGGCGGAGTCTCTCGGGTCCCGCCCACGGGGGCGGGGAGGGAGTCGCGGCCGCCGGCAGCTCGGGCTCGGCTGGTTCCGGGTTGAGAGGCTGCGCTGGACCGAAGCGGTGGCTGCTGAGCCGGCGGGGTAAGGGACCGCGCCGGGCCGGGGCTCGGGCAGTGGAGCAGGCCGGCGCCTCTCCTCTCTCCTGCAGAGCACAGCCGCTGTGCTCCTCAGCCTGGCTGCCCCCTCCCCCTGGACTCCCCATTCCCAGCCTCTCCCCCTCCGACAAGTGCTACGTGGTCGGTTTATTACTCCATTATTTTTTTTTTTTTTATTTTTGATATTTTTTTTTTTTGTTTTTTTTTCTTTTTTTTAGTATTATTTGGTCTTGTATAAACCTAGTTGTTAAGCCTTAAAAATTCTCCCGTGGTGTGGGAACACAATTTTCCTTCGTTCTCTAAATTCAAAATGCCGTACCAAGGGTTTTTTCCAGGAGATGATGTGGAGAGGAGCTGTAAAGAAAGTTTAAATGAATAAAGAAGAGCAAGGAGTGACAGTTCGAGTAAGGGTGTGCGGTAGCTTGGAGGAAAAGAGAGAGTCTGTACAAGAGCGACAGGCTACAAAATTAGAGTAAGAAGACATGAATTGAGTAAATGTAATTTCTGAGCTACATTATATAGGATGACTATATGTTAACGAGTCACAACGGCACTGCGTAAGTGTGTGGACAGATAGCTCTGCACATTGTGCCGACTGAATCAATCTTTTGATTTGCAACCTGTGCTGATTCGCAGTCGCATACACTCGGGTACACTACCTGACGATCGATCTCCGTAAGTACGACTGGATCTTCGACAAGAAGTCCGACTGCGAAAGTCTGGACTGGATGCTAAGCCCGATTGACGA